AAAAATATATGGTTACCCAACACACTAAGAATAGCCTATATCTTGTGCTAAAGTTCATTAAACAAATCAATTTAAGCTGCTACAGTCTTCAATGCTGTCAGAAGTCACTGTGATCCTTTTGGAAAGAGCGTGAGTACGACAATCATTTCAGTGCCCTTGGTGTTTCATATGGTCATTGCATTTGGCTAATTCAGTATCGTCCGTCAAGAACCCCCTTCAGCTCAGGGTGCTAGACAAATGCCTACCTACTGCCGTATTGTGGCGGCAGGTTGCAGTCGGAGAGTGTCCCATGCAGGACACTTCAATTTGGCTTCAAATACGGGACATCCCAACTAATACGAGACAGTGGCAGTGGTGGGCTCCAGCCCACTAAAGCGCAAATCTGCTAATTGCGGACCTAAATATTTCATTTGCGCTTGATCGGTCTTACTAAATTTCGTAATTCAAAAGCAGATTTGCGCTTTCTAAAATTAAAATGCAGTACTGCTCATAACTAATTATCTACCAGTCATCATTATCTTGAACAGCGGAAGGTATGGCTGTCAATGACTCACGGCACATATGATCTATCCAACAGCACCCCTCCCACTTATTGGAAACGTATACATCCTTGCTGACTGTTACTTTCGGTCACGGGTCTCATTTCCCACAATGCTTTGTGTCTGCTTACGTAGCAGGAAGGCAATAGCAATAACAGTTAATGTTTGTAATCCATACTACAATTTTGTATGTATTGATTTATTTTACTTTACAATCGGAGCACTTTTTTAAAAAAAAGTTTAAACGCTGGAGCTCAATACTTGACGTAATTGGTCGAAGCAACGGGGTTAGAGACGCAGAAATGATTTAAAGATGTTATGCTGGTGAAGACTGACATCTAGTGGTCAACTGGAGCAACTATATGGAAAACTTTAAAATCCAAACTCTTATTTTGAAGGGAAGATAGTTTCCTGTACTCCGTGCTTTCGTTTCCGTCACAAATCAAATCCGTCATGTACCCAGAATGCATCGCTTACGTTTTCCAATAAACAGCTTTAAAATTACTTTATTGATGCTTCTTTAATGAAAAATCTACAACAAACAAAAGAAAAAGACAAAGAAGCAGCCGAACTAGCAATCCTCAACAACTTTTTAAAGACGCAGCCGAACTAGCAATCCTCAACAACTTTTTAATTTTTACACCAGGAGCTAAAGGTCTGTTTCAGGAAATCACATCCCCAGCAATAAGCGGTTGTAGAATTAAGTTGTAAAAGACTTCATACACCGTTAGTTGGCAGTGTTGTGAATATAGTGTACATGAATTGTCAGCTAGTAAGTATCAAAAAGAACTTGCGCTTTAAAATTAGCTTCTGCTAATTTTTTTATTGCATAAGCGCTTTAGAAATTGCGGAGCTAATTTTTGGATTAGCGCTGCCCACCACTGGACAGTTGGCAACYGTACTTCAGCTCTGAAGGCAGCGGGGGTCGGTCTAAGACACTCAGATTCAGCCGTCGGTACTTAATGCTAACATTTACTCATAATGCTAATGTTTGATCTAGCATTATACTCTCAAGCTTCACAGGAATGGAAGAGCCAAATGGCTGACTGCTGCCAACTAGAGGTTGGAGGGTAAAATACAACAGAAGAATGAACCACAGGCATGAAACTTTACATTTTAAGCCGTAATTAAAAACTGATACAGTGCTTCAGAGAATCTATACAGTAYCAGGAAATGAAATATTGTGATACTTCAGTGTATTGATATTTCCTTACACCCTTATTATTTACAGAATCTGATGGAATTTCTGGTTTGGAGGKTTTCTCTCACCAAAGAGCCTCTGTTACTGCTGAACTTGTGCTGTCTGCTCCAATGGCCCTCAGGCGACACAGGACACGGATCACATTGCCATCTACAGCTCCGGCAACCTAGGCAACAGGGACCATACCAATTAACAAAAAAATAAGTGCATCTTTATAAATGGGAGCACTCAAATAGATTTTACAGTTCTGGCACTGATATGCAAAACCTTTTAAATGACTAATACAAACAAGACATTGCAGAGTTCAAAGTGAATCAGGTTATGTACAAAGAGTTATCATTTCCATAATAATTAAGATACTATTAATATCTTATTTCAATTAATTTATTCAGATTAAAAGGTATGTTTATCCAAACACTGCTTGTGTTTAAAAATGTTCTTAAAAATGCCTTTGAGCTAGTACTCATAAGCACTTTATCACGTTTAAAAACAAAAACATGCCCAAACTGATTTCATAACTGTTAGCAGCTGAACTGGTTTTGGTTTCCTCTGGTCCAAAGGAACACACGCAGCAGCCTAAACACAAATTTGCTTTATTACCAACCTGTCCGAGTGCAATAGAGCCAACAGCTGCAGCGGTGTAGCGTCCCACACCAGGCAGCTGTTTCAGCAAGTCCTCAACCGTCTGTGGCATCTGGCCCTTCAGCTCTGACACCACCTGAAGCCAAACAGCCAATAAATGAAGACTTAAAGAACTGCTCTTAAACTGTTATGAAAAAAGGTGGATAAAACGAACTAAACTAAATGAATCCTGTTCTAAGTGACAAAAATGATGCAGCAGACATTGATGACCTTCTGAGCTCCTTCATGCAACCTTTTTCCCCGGGAGTAGTAGCCAAGGCCTGCCCACATCTGGTTTACTTCCTGTGCACAAAAAATAAAAATAAAAAAAAATTTTAAAAATGAAATTAAATAAAAATCTACGCAAATTACAAAAATAACCCAAATATCATCCCATGCAGAGATTTTAAATGCATAACCTCTAAAGTGGCCTCTGCAAGGTCCTGGACTGTGGGCCACCTCTGAAGCAAAAATAAATAAGCTCATTTAACATAATACAACACAAAGACGTCAAGTACAAAAACTGTACAAAATGCCAACCTTCATCCATCTGTTGTAGTAGTCCATTACTGTGGCAACTTGAGTCTGCTGCAGCATTATTTCTGAAACCCACACTGGACCAAAGACAAACAGCAGCTCACACACATGCAACAACTTGTCAAAACGCTTCCAAACCTTTGTATGCAGATGACACCCATAATTATTGTGGCTCGTCCTCACTTATTCAGGGTTTAAGTTTTTACTATTTACTATTATTATTTTCACTTCTAATGTTATTCAGTCTCAACCAGGGAGTATCCCGCAAATTATAACCCCACAGGGAAACTTATAGAGCTGGTTTCCAAATACAAATAGTAGAGTGTTTTCTTGATTATGACATTGTTTAAAGCTCACATTGAAAATCTGGCTACTGAACTCAAGCTGAAGCTGGGCTATTTTAGGAATCAATCCTGTTTTTCAGTTAGAAACTCCTTAGTAATTTTTAGGCTCTTACTGGACTACAGTAATGTCATGTGTGCCCCGTCCATCTCTTTTAGATCCTTCAGTTCAAAAATGGTGCTAGTAAGACTTTCAATCGATGCCTATGCTTTTAACCATCAGTGATGCACACAGACATTTTGGTGCTCGAAGTGAAAAAAAGGGGCACCTTGTACCACACACAGAACTGCCAACTGTCTTAGATTTAATACAGGGCACAGCTTGTTCAACATATCTATTTCAAATGTAGCCAAATGCTGTCTAATGTGGATGTTTGATATCCAACACAAAGATTGTTTTCTTTGACAATCAAATTGGCAACAACAGAACAAAGAATGCATACTTTAGTGTYTAAAAATAACTAGGGATGTCCCAATCAGATACTCAGAATCAGTATCGGTGGCAGATATGGCCATTTTTTGAAAATCGGGTAGAATCAGATTTAGTCATGTGATCAGACCGATCCAGTTTTCGCGACAGTTTTCAACATCATGCTTTACAACTGCTGTTAAGAAGTCAAGATGCACACAAGTATGCAACCATGTCCACAGTGTGGGAACACTTTTCAATGGAAAACAAGGATGCTGAAACTGCATCTTGCAAAATCTGCAAACTGGATGTTTCTCGTGGTGGGAACAGCAGGGCTCACTTTAATACTACCAACCTTGTCACTTGGAAAGAAATAAAGCTATCCGATCGGTATCGGAAAAACTAGTCATTAAAAAAACCGGATCGTATCGGGAGCCAAAAAATCTGGATCGGGACATCCCTAAAAATAAACATCTATAATTAAGTTTTTTTGTTTTGTTTTGTTTTTTTACACAAAATTGCTCACGGATTTCTTGTTTTATGRAGGATCTTCTTTCCATTTCTTCTTCATTTTAATCATTAGAGCCCTGCTTCTGTCCATGCTCTGATTTTTCCGCTTCATCTTTGTCTGACTGATATTTTCTAATGATTTGTCTCCCTCATCTTACAAACTCACAGACGTCCTGGTGAACAGCATAGAGCTGCTTCTCTGCTATAGCTGCCTAAAAGACTAACAATATGAAAAATATTTATTTGTGTAAGACTCCTTGGTGAAAAGAGGCAGTGCACTGAATAATAACAAGCATACTGTTGTGTCCTATTTTGTAACTTATAAATCAGTCTTTTGAGATGTGTGCTGCCTTGGAGAAGAGATCTTGAAGTCAATGTTTTTTTTTTATTAATCTTGTGACATTTAACATGAAATAAGTTGTTAAAGAGTTTGTGCATGAGGTGAAATGTTGTTGTTTTTTTTTTTTGTTACTTACCTGCATATGTCCTGATGTTGAGGTCTGACTCTTTCATACCCTGAAGGAAATACATATATTACATATTACATATATTACATATTATATAATATTTAGCAGAAAAAGTAAGTAAATTTGGTTTTGGTAGATTATGTATTTGTTACAAGGTTTCTTGGAAATAAATCTTTTACCAAGAACCTGATTGCCAGCACTTGGGGTTACCAGAAGCTCATAGCAAATGTCAATAGTAACAGCAAACTAAGCTGTTTGGTAGTGGSAGAAAACATTTGGCAAATTTTTAATGTGCGCAACCCATAAACCCAGTTCTATTGCTCAGCCCACAAATGAATGTTCCTTACAAAAGTGGCACCATTTAAAATATAATTTAACAGGCTTTTCGATGGTAGCATTGTAACAACAAATATATAATATACCAAACACAAACTTACTTATTTTTTGTTGATATGATACATCAATACATATTGTCTACATCAAGACTATGTATGTATATATGAAACACAAGGTTTTAGAAAAATGATAGACAGATTTTAGTTTTTACTAATCCTTACAGCAGTTTTTGTCAAAACATGACATGAATCTACTGTTACTGAATGAGAAAAATATGTCACTGTTAGTGATTAAAACTTAAAAATAGCATTTATTTATTTATTTATTTATTTTTATTTATTTTTTACCAGAGTCCTCCATGGCAGCTCTCTCTTCTCCTCATCATACCAGCTCAGGAGCTGAGAGCGAAGGTGCTCCACATCTGCAGCATCACAGAAACTGTGGTAGGAAGAGGACGAGGCTGCACTGATGCTGTTCTCTGCAGGTAAACACACAGCTCTCATCAAAACACACACACAGTTCACATATTATTCAACAAGGTCCCATTAAATGTGTCGCCACGCAGACTTAATGCCAATAAAGGTGTTTTAGATTTTCTGAGTAAAATTAGAGATGATATCAGGTGTGTCTTTAACATGTCTACAGCTGTACACACAGAAACTTTCAACACTGTGCAATGCATTTAAAACACTCCGAGCGGCAAACCTTTTTTAACTGCTGGTTTTGATCTCTTCCGGGTCGAAACTGTTGTTTCTTCCGYCTCCAGTCGGGCTCTTTTGCTCTTAAATACCGCTGAACGTAACCTACTCATTGTTAAATATTCTTAAATACTCGTCATGATGAGAAACTCCAGCACATGAAACACAACTTTCACGCACGTGTTGTGCGCCTAAAGTCACGTGACTACCGCGCCAAAGAAGTCTCATTACATCACATGGGTGGGTTKGGGGGGGGTTTCAGTGATTTGTTGAAGTTAATTTAAGTCATTAAATAAATTCTAAATATTAAAGCTAATTGTTAAAAAGAAAATTGAAACATTTTATATTAATTCTAAACGTTTCGTTGAAACTGAACATTAAGTTATAGTACAAATTCAGTCTGAAACAGGAAGTACCAAAATAAAAGCTCGACTGTGTATTAAAATGCATCTATAAATTTGGTTTTCTAGATATTCTGTCACGATAATGTATTAAACTACCCTTTATATATATATATATATATAAAAAGACAAAAATCTTAGGTAAATCTGAAAACTAGACATTCTGGTCAATAACAGTTTTATTCATATAATAAAAACTATTTTTTTTATATTTATGACTTAGACCTTTTGTCCAGTTATTTAAAAYGAACTTATTTATTCTGTTTAGTGGTGGCTCTACCTATATTGCTCCYGTGGGTGTTGATTTTAAAGGCACCTGTAATAATTGTTAATGGTTTTGCATGTATTGGTACTGTATGTTCTTTGATTTTTCTAAAGTTGAGYCAAGTTATAAACAATACTTACATAGTCTAGTACTGATCTATCGGTAATATGTGACTTCCTGTTTGCTCCCCAAAAGCCAAAAGGACCTGTTTTTATTTTAAGATTTTTAAAGAAGAAATTATTTAAAAWTTCTGGGAAGTTTATAAAATGCAAAATTCAGAATACCAATCATCTTTATTACATTCTTTCRGTTTGTTAGTTTCACTTCATTTCAAATTTAGGACCATTTTTAGAAGATTACAAAAAGAAATATAATCTTTTCATCAGATGACACCACTGAACTTCAGCACTAAATGTTAATAATAATAAATCAAACATCCGTCCATCCATTTTCTATACCCACTTCTTCCTTTCAGGGTCACGGGGGTCACTGGTGCCCATATCCAGCAGTGTGCGAGGCGTGGGGCCCTGGACAGGTCGCAAGTCCATCACAACAACACATAAAGACAGACCATTAACCAGGGTTCCCACACCTTGGTCGACATCTAATTCAAGGACCTTTCAAGGTCTTTCCAGTACAACTTTCCTCAAATTCAACAACCACAYGCGACAGCAATTACCTGCTGTTACCAATAAACAGGTTCAATGTCATGTAAAATCAATGAAAAACTGAACATAAAAATGGTTGAGTCAGAAGGAATGAAAGAAAGTGGATTAAATGTTCACCCTACATTCATATCTACAATACATGGACATGTAATTATGTCCTGGGAGGTTCAGCAGCTCAGTTTGGGAGGAGGGGATCAGAACATGTCCAGACGCTCAGTGAGGACAGGAGGAGCTGTGGTGCTTCACCTGAGCTCAGAAAGAACCTGCCCTACTCTGTCCTGATTGGTTAAAACTATGACTCACGTTATTTGTTGAAAGCCACGTCAGTTTACCGTAATCCTAAGTTATCCACGCAACAAATGTTTTTATTTATTTATTTATTTTCTGGAGGATGAAAATCAGTCGTGTGAATATAGAACTTCAATACCCAAAAAGCATTCAAGGACTTTGAAGGACAAGTGTGATTTTTGGCTGTTTTCACAAACTTTCCAGAGCCTTGAAATCATTTTTTTTATTCACAAACTTTCAAGGATTTCAAGGACCCATGGGAACCCTGATTAACGTTCTCACTCACACCATGTTTTTGGTCTGTGGAAAGAAGCCATATMTGGAGAAAACCCACACATGCACAGAGAGAATACACAAGCTCTACCCAGAAAGGGATTGCTGAGAGACAAATAAATTATAAAACACATTTAAACAAAACTCTTCTAATGATAAAGACATAAATAAATACATTACAGTGGCATAATAAAAGAAAGATGGAACAAGTGACAATTCTTGAGATGAAGACAAGCACTCCAAATTACTGTTTCCCAATGTGAAAGTTTAATTTGCAGTTGCAACACAAATGTAAACATTTCATACAGAAGAATCATACATTTTAAAACTTTTCTTAGTTTCTTCTATTTCTTACTAACAGTGGTGGGCACTAAAGCACTAACAGGGGAACTAATTTCCTGATTACTGCTTTAGGGCTTTTGCTAATTTGTCAATTCATTAGTGGATTAGCACTTGCTAAATTTATAAGCACTAATTGAGTTATTTAAATATTACTGATTAACATTATTGTCAACAGCTGAGGGTGAAAGCTGTCAGACGTGTTCATATGTGTGTCAATT